TATTAATCAGGGGCCTGGGTTACCCAAGCACTTGGAGGGCTGCCAGAACGGCTGAGTCATTGGCACGTTTGGCACGCACAGCGCACATGAGTCCTAGTCCTTGATCGAGCTTATATACGAAGCTTGAAAAGCTGCTTTGTCCGAGCGTCCCCTACGTGGAGACATTCCTGCGTGATATGCGACAGGCCCCCCCCCCCCCAGGCTTACACCAGTCTCTGAAGCAGCATCATAGTAGTTGAACTTGAGTGTGGGGTTGCCACGCCTCATACTGAAACTGAATGGTTTTGCAATTGGTATAACTTTGGCAGTAGCTTGAGATCCCTGCGTTTTGCCAGCCGCACGAAGCTTTGCAAGTAGCGAGTGCCAGACCCCTGGCAGAACAACCTTGGGCGTGCTTGTGCTCCTTTCCGACTACTATTTGAGATTTAGGGTTTAGGGNNAATGGAGAATCAAATGGAAATAAAATGGAAAATGAAATGGAAACTATGGTTTATAGGGATATAAGCTTCATGTTTAGGAGCGAATCCTCATGATAGTTGCAAAAAAAGCAACCTGCACCGCGCCTCAGGATGCGCCCATGTTTGGCTTTTTAATCTTTTGCGCCGTTTTTCACAATCCACGGTGAACAATACCAGATCGGGGCGGATGTCCCATGTCTTGCTGCAAAAAGCTAGGCTGCGATAACAAGCTCCATCCCCGTGATTGGGGTGAGCTGCACGAGCTGGCCACACAGAACTTGCATTGTGTTGTTGGTTGCACGGCGATGGGTTTTGCTACCCGTATTTAGCTCTATTGCCACCGCTCCTCCTCCATTGGTGTTACTTGTGCTACAACACTGCCACAGCAACATCCATGACCACCCTCATGTCACCGCCGCTGCCATCGCCGACGGCTCACGCCTCCGCCACCTAGATCGCCGCCACCAGCACTAGCAACGACACCATCGCCATTGCCACTACGATCACCCCACGACCACAATGACTACCACGACGACTACCATGACAATCACGGCGACCACCACGACCACGCGACTACCATGATCACCACGATCACCAGCGCGACCACCGCAACTACCCCGACCGCATCAAGCACCACGACTAACGGCCACCTAGACCATGACGACCACCATGATGCACACGACCACCACCACAACCGTGACCACGACGACCACGTCGACGACGACAATGACTTGTGTCTGCTGCTTCTATTGCTACATTTCTGGTAGGGCCAGTTTGCATGCTATGTCTCATGAGTTGACCCTTAGGACTTCATAGTTGCAGTTGATCTCTGCAAGAATCTGAAGATGTAATTGGTGTGAAGCTCTGGGTTTGTTTTGATATTGTGCTCAGGGGCTCTAGGTCGACCGTGCTGCCAAGAATGGTGGAAGTATTGATATTGCTTTTTGAGACTCCGTGCTGATGGTGTATCATGGTGCTTGGGAGGCTGACAGTACGAACCAAAAAAAATACAAAACAAGAGCGGTGGCAACACGAGTAAGGATCCACCGTGCTCACCAACCGCCGCATTTCGTCGACTTGACAATAGGCTCGTTTAAACAGGAACTGAACCCTAAACCCTAAACCCTAAACTCATTCAGAGCCTGATAGAATTTGGGATATATGGGGAACTTATTATAATGTACCCAAAGCCATATTCTATCTACTTAAGGGGGACTACAGGGTTTAAGGACAGAGCCTGAATTTCTAAGATCTGCTCTCAGGATCTGAGTGCAGGTTATGAAGGACAACTCTAGATTATGGCCCCAATGTCTGGGGGTTTGCCAAAATTAGGGTACCATTCTGGGATCCCAATAATAAGGATCAAAGTATTTTGGGGTCTATATTGGGTTCCCCCTATTTTGGGAAACTACGATATACCCTATCACAATGTAGTCGTTTTCTTTTTCATTGTCCCTATATAACCCAATATATCTGGCAGAAACCGCAAACCTTTAGTTTCCAGCTTCGTTTCCATTATCCATATATACCTATAGAACCCTTTTGACAAAGTATCCTGCAGCGGCTAGTAATACCATTCCCCCTATTTCTTATATCATTTTAAATCATAGCATATTCGAAGATACGACAATGGGAATATTTGATAGCAGGGGGTTGGGGGATTTTTGGGGGGTAGCATCTAGCCTCTATTTAAACCCAGTTTCCATGTCTATAACCTCTACGTTTGGTGGTTGTAGTGCATCCCTTAGCCCCAAACCCTAATCCCTGAACCCTAAACCCGAATCCCTGAAGCCTAAACCCTAAACCCTTGTGAGTGGCTACCCAGCTCTGAGGTTGCAGTTGTGGG